TTAATGCATTAAGAAGAGAGTTTGAGGTTCTCGAGATAGAAATGATGAAACCATCACTGAGTATTTTGCAAGAGTGATGCAGGTTGCTAATAAGATGAGAAGCAATGGAGAAGATATGCCCGATAAGAAAATTGTAGAAAAAATCCTACGCACCCTAACGGACATATTTAAATACGTTGTAGTATCCATTGAAAAATCAAAAGATACTGATACTAGGTCCATTGATGAGTTACAAAGTTCGTTAGTGGTGCATGAACAGAAATTTCGACGCCTCTGCAACAATAATGAAGAACAGGTGCTAAATGTTGTTGGTCGATCAAGTACAAACAACAGAGGGAGAGGAACGTACAGAGGAAGAGGGCGTGGAAGAGGGAGAATAAATTTCAACAAAACAACTGTTGAATGTTATATGTGTCACAACTTAGGACATTTTTTAGTATGAATGTCCAAAGTGGAAGAATGAAGCAAATTATGCTGAGCTTGACGAAGAAGATGAGATGCTGCTGATGGCCTATGTAGAACTCCATGGATCAAAGAGAAATGACACTTGGTTCTTAGATTCGGGTTGCTCAAATCACATGTGTGGTAATGAAAACATGTTTTCAAGCTTAGATAAAACTTTTACTCACAGTGTCAAGCTTTAAAATAATACCAGAATGAAAGTGTCTGGAAAAAGTACTGTAAAATTGTTTTTGCAAGAAAATCATTATACCATTGGAGAAGTATATTGGGCACCTGAACTCAAAAACAATTTATTGAGCGTTGTACAACTTCAAGAAAAGGGAGTAGATGTACTGTTAAAAAATGAATGGAATATGCAGTATTTATCATCCACAAAAAGGGAAAATAGTAGAATCAATTATGAGTGCAAACCGAATATTCATTTTGCTTGCAAAGTCATCAATCACAACAACTGAAGAGAGCTACCTCCAAGTCTCTAATACAAATCAATCAACACTTTGACACTATCGTTATGGTCATCTCAGCTACAAAGACCTTTGTATTTTGAAACATAAAAACATGGTGGAAGGTTTGCCGCAAATTGTTGATCCAAGCATCACTTACGAAGCATGTATAAAGGGCAAACAACATCGGACTCCGATTCCAAAACACAGTCAGTGGAAAGCAACTGAAAAATTGGGACTTGTTCGTGCTGATTTGTGTGGTCCGATTACTCCGCCTTCAAGCAGCGGAAAAAGGTATGTGCTATGTTTTATAGATGATTTTTCTAGGAAGGCATGGATGTACTTTATTCGAGAAAAATCAAAAACATTTTATCCTTTAAATGTTTCAAAATTGTGGAAAAAGAAGTTGGAATGCCAAAAGCCTGAGAACAGACAGAGGAGGAGAATTCAATTCGGCAGAATTTAATGACTTTTGCAAGCAGCATGGAGTGAAGAGACAACTGACCACAACAAAATGGAGTAGCTGAATGCAAAAATCGTACAATGATGAACCTGGTAAGAGCTGTTTTAACAGAAAAGAAAATACCAAAGAGATTCTGGCCTTTATGTGGGTGAATCATGTCTTAAATCGATCACCAACTCTTGTAGTAAAAGATGTGACACCAGAAGAGGCTTGGAGTGAGTAAAACCATCAGTTGACTATTTTCGAGTTTTCGGATATGTGGGATATGTTCATATTCCATATGCTAAGAGGAAAAAGCTTGAAGATAAAAGTGTAAGTTGTGTTTCATTTAGAATCAGTGGTGAATCCAAAGGGTACAGAATGTTTGATACTGTTGCAAACAAAATCATAATTAGCCGCAATGTAATTTTTGATGAGGATCGTGAATGGGATTGGAAAAATACTGAAAATGAAACTGATTTAGATTAGGGAGAAAACATTGAAATTTCAATTGCAACGGAAGAAAACTCAGAACAACACACAGGTTCAACTTCATCGATTAACTTAGATGGTGAAATTGAACCTGTTGTTGTACCTACTGTTGAAATCGAACTAGGTTTGGCTATAAGGGAGGGTAGAAGTCGATGCTCACCTATATGGTCAACTCATTATGTTTTCGGTGAAGGTTTGTCCGAAGAAGATGATGTTACCATGACATTTTTTACAAATTCAGATCTTGAAAAGTATAAGAAAGCACTCAAAGTGGAGGATTGCCCTAGATGAGGAGATTAAATCCATTGAAAAAAATCAGACTCGGCACTTAGTAGCTCTTTCTGCTGGTGCTAAGAAAACTGGGGTAAAATGGATTTATAAAACTAAGCTAAATGAGCTTGGGGAGGTTGACAAATACAAGGCAAGATTGGTGGTAAAAGAATACACACAAGAGCATGAAATAGATTACATTGAAGTTTATACACCGGTAGCTAGAATGGATACTGTGAGGATGATCATAGCTTTTGCCGCTCAGAAAGGCTGGAAACTTTATCAGTTAGTAAAATCATTTTTTCTACATGGAGAATTGAAAGGAGATATCTTTGTAGAACAACCAAGAGGCTATGAAAAAAGGGGGAGTGAACATATGGTGTATAAGCTCAACAAAGCACTCTACGGGTTAAAACAGGTACCTAAAGCATGGTTCAGCCGAATCGAATCCTACTTTATCAAAGAAGGTTTTGAAAGCAGTTCTAGTGAGCATACACTCTTTGTTAAAAGGAAGAAAGGTAACATTTTGATTGTAAGCATATATGTTGATGATCTTTTGTTTACTATCAAACATTACTCGGAGAATTTAAATGTTCTATGAAAAATGAGTTTGATATGACTGATCTAAGACAGATGAGGTTCTTTCTAGGGATTGAAGTAATACAACGATCATATGACATTTTTATATGTTAAAAGAAGTATACAGCTGAGGTTTTGAAGCGATTTAAGATAGAAAATTACAACTCTGTCTGTAATCCCATTGTTCCAAGACAAAAAATTGGTAAAGATGAAAATGACATTCAAATGGATGCAACTTTTTTCAAACAGATAGTAGGAAGCTTGATGTATCTCACTGCCACTCGTCCTGATCTTATGTTTGATGTCAGTCTAATACGTCGTTCTATGGCTTGTCCAACGCAACAACATTTAGCAGTAGCAAAAAGAGCTTTGAGGTACTTGAAAAGTACAGTTTACTGACAGTGACTATGCCAACGACATAGAAGACCGCAAAAGCACTCCAGGCTATGTGTTTATGATGAGTGAAGAAGTAGTGGCTTGGTCATCTAAAAAGCAGTCTATAGTCACTTTATCAACCATAGAGGCAAAATTGGTTGCTACTACTGTTGCATGTGCATGTCAAGCTGTTTGGATGAGAAGAATACTCAAGGAGATCGATTCTTTACAGATAGAAGGAACCAAACTTATGTGTGATAATGCTTCAACTATTAAGCTCTCAAAAAATCCAGTTCTACATGGACGTTCTAAGCACATAAGCGTGAGATTTCATTTTCTTAGAGATCTTACAAAAGAAGGCATTGTCAACTTAGTGTTCTGTGGTACTCGAGATCAACTTGCTGATTTGTTGACAAAACCTCTCAAGTTGAAAGCATTTCAAAAACTGCATAAAGAGCTTCATGTATGTGATATTTCAAGACTTCAACTTAGTTTAAGAGAGGAAAGGTTAGAAGTTAGTGGTTGAGTTGACTTGTGTTTCAAATATAGTTCTAGTCTCTAGGGACTCTTGAGATTTCTGTTCATATTTTTATGTTCAATTACTCTGAGTTACTTGTGATTTCTATCTTTTTGTAAAAGCTATATAATGCCAAAATTCTCGAGATCCAACGACGACGAAGAAATGCGTAAGGATTAATAGCTATGAACAAAAGTAATGACAAAAAAAAAAAAAAAAAAAAAAAAAAAAAAA